ACGCTTCCGTTTTGCGATCTTCAAGGGTATGAAGATGCACTCCCCCCCCCCCTCTCGTTGCTAGTCTCTCCATAGATTGATCTTGGTGATGCGTAGAATTTTTTTAATTTCTGCAACGATCCCCAACACCCCCTCCCCTGTATATAAAGGGGGGAGGAGGAGAGGGCCGGCCCTCATAGGGCGCTCCCAAGGGGGGGTAGTCCTACTCCCAGTAGGAGTAGGTTTCCCCCTTCCTAGTTGGAGTAGGAGACGGGGGAAGAGGGAGAGGGAGAGAAGGAAAGGGGGGGCGGGCCCCCACCCCAATTCGGATTGGGCTTGGGGGAGCGCCCTTCACCTGGCCGCCTCCTCCTCTCTTCCACTAAGGCCTAATAAGGCCCATTGACTCCCCGGGGGGTTCCGGTAACCTCCCGGTACTCCAGAAAATGCCCAAACTCATCTGGAACCATTCTGGTGTCCAAACATAGCCTTCCAATATATCGATCTTTATGTCTCGGCCATTTCGAGGCTCCTCGACATGTCCGTGATCTCATCCGGGACTCTGAACTACCTTCGGTACATCAAAACACATAAACTCGTAATATCGGTCGTCATCGAATGTTAAGCGTGCGGACCCTACGGGTTCGAGAACTATGTAGACATGACTGAGACTCATCTCCGGTCAATAACCAATAGCGGAACCTGGATGCTCATATTGATTCCTACATATTCTACGAAGATCTTTATCGGTCAAACCGCATAACAACATACGTTGTTCCTTTTGTCATCGGTATGTTACTTGCCCGAGATTCGATCATCGGTATCTCAATACCTAGTTCAATCTCGTTACCGACAAGTCTCTTTACTCGTTCCGTAATGCAACACCCCGCAACTAACTCATTAGTCACATTGCTTGGCAGGCTTATAGTGATGTGCATTACCGAGAGGGCCCAGAGATACCTCTTCGATACATGGAGTGACAAATCCTAATCTCGATTTATGCCAACTCGACAAACACAATTGGAGACACTTTTAGAGCATCTTTATAGTCACCCAGTTACACTGTGACGTTTGATAGCACACTAAGTGTTCCTCCGGTATTCGGAAGTCGCATAATCTCATAGTCATAGGAACATGTATAAGTCATGAAGAAAGCAATAGCAATAAACTAAACGATCATAGTGCTAAGCTAACGGATGGGTCAAGTCAATCACGTCATTCTCTAATGATGTGATCCCGTTCATCAAATGAAAACTCATGTCTATGGTTAGGAAACTTAACCATCTTTTGATTAACGAGCTAGTCAAGTAGAGGTATACTAGTGACACTCTGTTTGCCTATGTATTCACAAATGTACTAAGTTTTCGATCAATACAATTCTAGCATGAATAATAAACATTTATCATGATATAAGGAAATATAAATAACAACTTTATTATTGCCTCTAGGGCATATTTCCTTCAGTTGCAACACTTTCGAATGAGGAACAACTCAACTATTTAGAGGATCCCATTGACTTCTCATTTTGCAGCTCCACTTCTTGCAACAAAGCCAAGAAGCTATCAGTATCCACATCTTTAGGGTGATGTAAAAAACACCGGAACGGATGCGAGACACAACCCAGCAATATAACGCTCAACAACACCTCGTGGTATTGGGACCGACTAAGAGGATTTGATGATGGAGAGTGTCAAATTTCATTGTGTCGTCCTCAGTGTGCCTATTTGTGTGAGGACCAATAGCTGGCACATGTGAAACTGATGATGGTCCTTTTCCCAATGGGCACGAACCGCATCACATAGTTCCTCCCACATCATGAATCTCTTATGCTTTTGTGTTGTTTTAAGCCACAACAAACTGTTGCCTACACAATTCAGAGCAGCAAATTTCACCTTCATCTGCTAAATCTCAAAATATAACTCGCAATTATTGATCCAAACTTGGCAATCCTCCCCGTCAAACTTAGGGGAATCCTTCTTAGATGTGTTACCAAAGTGAGAGCGGAGCGAGTGGTGATTGCGACGCTCGGGAAATTGAGATTCAGAATCGAATAGTTTGTGGGCATGAGCAGGTGTACCGTTGGCCGGAGGCAGATCGACGAATACAAGATTCCCTAGAACTGGCCCCAGTGGAAGGTGTTGCCCGCTGTGCCCATGGGGCTAATCTACGCCATCCGAGTGCTGGTCGGCTGTGGGGGGCATGATGCTAGCGTTGGCTGGACTTGATGGTCATTGGAAAGCCGTCTCAAACGCTCCCAGGCGCGACGACGCGTCCTCTGCATGGAGCTGCAGGAGGGAGGCTGACACAGCGAGAGCCTTCGTTGTGGAATCCACCGTATTTCATCCAGGCGATGAGCCCTTTAAACTGTAGGACATTGTCACTGACCTTAGTGTTGGTCACCGAGGGATGCTAGTCGATGGTCTCCATAGATACCGTAGTTTGGATCTCCGCCACCGAAGGGCCCTTCCCTTTGGGTGCCAAATCAATCTCAGGGAGTTGTCTTGGCTGAGAAATAGGAATTACAACAGCAGCATGAGGTCGTTGCCTACCACAGATGGACTGATGGATCAAGCTCATAAGATTGGATCGATGAGACTACTAGCACCTAGTGTTATGCATCTCGAATTTCAAATGAAGGGGAGGGATACAAGATAGAGTTCATACTAGATTTGGGGGAAGGAGAGAAATGTTTTTGGTCTTTCTTGGATGACCACCATTCCCTCTAGCACATGCTTACTTATTGGTAATCCTATTTAGCACCTTTTGCGCCCGTTTCTATTGTTTCTGCCATCGGGCGCATACCCCGCTCCGTGAATGGGCCGACCTGTTTAGCTTTTTTGGTAAGGTGCAAAAAAGCATGCACGCCGAGAAGATTCAAACGCGCGATCTCTTGTTCTCGACAAACTGCACTAACCACCTGATGCAACAATCAGTAGTGATTACTCACCAATTTTTTTTGTCCTTTTGCTCTCTTTTTTCATTTTCTTTTCTTTTATCCGTTCTCCTTTTCCTTACTTATTCTTTCTATTTTTTTCTTCATTTCTTAAATTCATGAAGGTTTTTGTACAAAATCTGTGGACTTCTTTTCAAAATCAATGAACTTGCATAAAATTTGTGATTTTTTTTCAAAATTTAAGTACTTTTTTCAAATTGTGATTTCTTAAAAATTGATGATTTTTTTTCCAAATTTGTGTTTTTTAAAACCAATGAACGTTTTTCAAATCTGACAAACTTTTTCCAGGTGTGTGAACTTTTTTAAAAAACAATCTTGATTTTTTTAAATTTTTTACCCTTTTTCAAAATTGGATGAACATTTTTCAAAATCGATGTTTTTTCATTTTTCAGGAGCCTTTGCTATTTTTTGAAGTTTTTTTAAAATCATGTTTTTATTTAAGTTTTTTGTGAATTTCTTTTCAAATAATTAATACTGGGTATATAATATATCTTTAGAAGAAGGGTCAAATAGCTCCCGTTCCTGACAGTGGACAAGGTTGGCAGCTCGGTGTGATGGTTATGGCGCTAGGTTGTTATTGGTGTAATGAAGAGTTTGAATCCCGGTTCTCCCATATATCGTATAGAATATTTTTGCAGGTTTTTGTTCGTGCTTACTTTTACTCAGAGTGTTGCCGGGCCGACCTACTAAGCTTCTCCCGAGGTAACACACCAGTTCTAATCACTCACTAACTTTTTCTTATTTTTGCTCTTTCTTTCTCTTTCTCTTTCCTTTTCTTTCCCTTTCTTTTATCTTTTCTTCTTTTCCTTCCTTATTTTTTCTATTTTTACTTCTTTCCTTAAATTCATGAAGTTTTTTTTACAAAATCCGTGGGGGATTTTTCAAAAAAAATGAAATTGCATCAAATTTGTGACCTTTTTTTAAAATTTATGAACATTTTTAAAATACATGATTTTAAAAAATTGATGATTTTTTAAAATCGATTAACTTTTTTCAAAATAAATTCAGGCTTGTGAACTTTGTTTTTCAAATTCTTGAACTTTTTTCAAAATTGGATGAACTTTTTTGCAAAATTGATGACTTTTTTTCCATATTTTTAGGAACCTTTGCTAATTTATGAAGTTTTTTAAAAAGTTGTGTTTTATATAATTTTTCAAAAAATTGTGTTTTTACATAATTTTTGTGAAATTCTTTAATAATTAATACTGAGTATATAATATATCTTTAGAAGAAGGGTCAAATAGGTCCTGTTCCTGACAGTGGACAAGGTTGGCACCTTGGTCTGATGGTTATGGCGCCAGGTTGTTATTGGTGCCGTGAAGAGTTTGAATCCCGGTTGTCCCATATTGGGCCGACATGCTAAGCTTCTCTGCGAGCGCCGTCAACGCCAACCAGTGCTTACGGCGCCGGATAGGAGCCCCCCTACTTATTCCATCCTAGACTTGGGTCCTGTTCTTCGCCGTCTTCTGGGCCTCCCACTCGCGGGCCATTCTTCGGATCCTTCTTATCGCCTTGGTCCGGCGTCTAGTAGAGGGCCACGCCATAACAAATTCCAGGTCCAGTTTTGTCAGGAAAAAGAGAACAAGGTTTCAAAAGTGAAAAAAAAAAAAACAGGTCCCGGCACCGACCACGCACGCATTCGCGCCCCCGAGATCTCGTGGGATCTGCCTGCCAGCACGGGCGGGCTCGGACAAAAAGAAGGTAGGAGGCACCGCCAGCGAACGCCAGCCGTCGATGGGCTGGCCTCGAGATAGCAACGACAATGCGCTCACTCGCCAAAGCGGGGGCGGGGCCAGCTGGGCACGGCACGAGATCCCTCCTTTCCTTCCCCCAGCTTCCCTCCTCCCCTCGTCGCCGTTCCATTCTCGGATCTGCCCCCACCCCTCCCATTCCCCTCCCGCTCGGCCCGGCGAGCAGCGCCGCGTCCCGTCCCGTCCCATCCCGGTAAGCGGAAGCGTCGACGAGGCCTTCTCTGATCCGCGCGGGCTGCTCATTGGCCGGGTGATCGATCGGGTCCGCGGGAGGAGAGGCGAGGCGAGGCGGCGACGGGGAGGGAGCAAGGGAGGCGGCGATGGCGCACCGGGTGGACAACGAGTACGACTACCTCTTCAAGATCGTGCTCATCGGCGACTCCGGCGTCGGCAAGTCCAACATCCTCTCCCGCTTCACCCGCAACGAGTTCTGCCTCGAGTCCAAGTCCACCATCGGCGTCGAGTTCGCCACCCGGACCCTCCAGGTACCAGCTCCAACCCCGATCTGATCCCGTCGCTCTTGCTCGGCCGGTTCCGTCTATCTGTGACACAATTGCGTGCCATGTGAATTGAAATGCAAATGCCGTCGTCATTTGTGATCCCGCGCTGGGTTGTGTGTGCTTTGGCCTGTTGAACAGAGCACTCGGTTGAATTTGCAGTCACGGCGTAGGAATAGCACGGGAGATCTAGGTGAATGAATAACCAGGACGCCTGTCGTAGGTCAATGTGTTGTTGGCTGCATGTCTGAGCGGACACCTAGCATGGAGTACTTTTCTGGTCGTATGACAATGACAACACATGGTAATGCCGTGAAAATACCAATGTAGGCTTTGCTTCAGATGCTTTTGCATTTAAGATAGCAATTGGGTTAGATTGTCAACGAGACCCTATCTGTCGTGGGCATGGTTTCAGTTTTCTTTTGAAGAGGATAGTACATCATCAACCAATTACATATTGTTCAGAAACCTAAAGGTAAACGGTTTTCAGAGGAAAAGAAACTAGTAAACAACTGAGCCGTTTTAATTGCATTACCATCATCATCATCATTAATAGTATTATTATCATTATTATGTGTTTTGGGTTGGCACTGCACTAGAAAATATGTGAGAGCAGAGTCTGTGCCGAACAGCTGTTTGATTCACAAGCCTTGCGCTAAAAAGTAGTGCTGACCTGGGTAACCTGGATTGATTGGTAGAACCGGTTTCTTCTTTTGAATTGTCATGCACTTAGCAACGAATTGCAACCCTATGATTTGCACTACGGACTTTGTCCTATTGCCAGAAAGCTGGAAATGAACTTAATTTCTCTTATCTCTTCTGGTTGGTTGATGTTGAATAACTATGTGTTTTTAAGCTCATCATTGGTGCTCCTGATAAAATGTTTTGATACGCTCATCATTATGCGATCCTGTCTGAAAGTCATCGTAAGAAGATGTCATTGCTGTACTTCTATTTCAACAAATATTATAAGTAGTCTTCCAGTACATCCCCATGTTTTTTACCAGTGCATATTGACATATTGTTGTCTGCTGTAGTACATGAACTTCAGTAAAAGGAAAATAACATGTAGTTAGAGAATCCCTTTTGTTCCTTCTAGCTTTTCAATCAGGATTCAGTAACTGGGGATGCATCATATTTGTAACCATTCCCATGATATGTGCTGATCCTCCGGACTTCTCCCCCCTCTCCTGCGAGCGCGCGGGGTGGGGGTGGGGGGGGGGGTGAGTTTACCACTGGAATAATACTCCTTTCCTATTGGTGTTCTATACCCGTGTTAAATACATATTCTTCTAGTGAAGCTCAGCAGAAGTTTAATTTGGTTTTGCGGCAGATAGAAGGAAAGACTGTGAAGGCACAGATATGGGACACGGCTGGTCAGGAGAGATACCGTGCAATTACTAGTGCATATTACAGGGGTGCTGTTGGAGCACTCCTAGTCTTTGACATAACAAAGAGGCAGACCTTCGACAATGTTCAGAGGTGGCTCCGTGAGCTCCGGGATCATGCAGATGCCAACATTGTTGTCATGATGGTTGGGAACAAGTCAGACTTAAACCACTTACGATCGGTTCCTGAGGAAGACAGCCAAGCATTCTCTGAGACAGAAGGTCTGTCGTTCCTTGAGACATCTGCACTGGAGGCAATCAATGTGGAGAAGGCATTCCATACTGTGCTGAGTGAAATTCACCAGATTGTAAGCAAAAAAGCACTTGCAGCACAGGAGTCTGCTGCTGCCAACGGCCGTTCAATGCAAGGAACGACTATTAACGTTGCTGAATCATCCGCCAACGCAAAAGGTTCTTGCTGTTCCAGTTGAAGAGCTGGTTCCAGTGGAAGAGATTCTTCCCGGAAATGTCTGCTTCCGCAGAACTGGACCATGACAATATACATAGGTTATAGTTTGGTCTCAGATATTCTTGTTTCTCATCCCGAATCCCATGACTGGTAATTCCTATCGCAAGAACACCTTTACCATACTCTATAACCTGCCTCCATCAAATCATTCTCATTTTGTATTCTTATAACTATCATCGATTTCACTTGTACAATTGAGAAATCGAACATGTTGTAACAATGATTATTTCCTGTTAACAACAATAATAATTGTTAATGGAATTATTATATGCTCTTAAATTTCGTTATAATGGCAAGAAGTGCGCTGCCGATGTTGGTAGACCTGATCATATGACTGAGCGAGCACTTTTTTTTCGCAGGCTTGATGTTTGAGAAATTATTTACCCTTCTTCGATTCAAATAGTATTATTCATCAATTCTCTTTTGAATTGCTCTAAATGCATTCCCATGAATCATTCTGGCTGTGCCTCTGACCATTAGTTATTTCATGATGTGTCTTATTGCTGGACCTGTATTCATTTTTCCAGCATGATGGTAATTTATTGAATTTTCACGTTTCTTTTCCTTGAAACGAACAAGAAGTCTTTTGTACTCCCTCCGTTTCCTAAATACTCCCTCCGTCCAGAAATACTTGTCGGAGGAATGGATGTATCTAGACGTATTTTAGTTCTAGATACATCCATTTTTATGCATTTCTTTGACAAGTATTTCAGGACGGAAGGAGTACAAGTCTTTGTAGAGATTCCATTATGGACCACATACGGATGTATATAGATGCATTTTAGAGCGTAGATTCACTCATTTTGCTCCGTATGTGGCCCATAGTGAAATCTGTACAAAGAGTATTTAGGAATGGAGGGAGTAGCATGTTTTGCATGAGATGAACTATTCCTCGGCACAACACATGTGTGTTCCTTCGGGTTTGTTTGTCCGAGTTCTCCTTTTATTTTGTCCACAGTTTGCTGTTGCGTAATTACTGGCGGATTGGAGTTTCACATACCTGTCATAACTCAGTATACATGTATAATCCTACAGTACTATAGTTCAATACAAAAAACTATAGGTTAAATTAATTCGAATATATTTTTTGTCTGCGCGAGTTAAAACCCGTATACATTGGGCTTGTGTCGCCCACATTATTTAGCCTCGCATCAGCCGGTGGCCTGGGCACGCTGGCCTGAAATTTTACCTATCTGCGCTACAGTCCCCCTCCAAAAAAACAAAATTCTGCGCTGCAGTCATTTAGCGATGTGTTCTGCTGCGTCCAACCATTTGTTGGCGCGGTTGTTCACGCTTCGTTTTCGGATTGGATGTACAGAAGTGACCATGATCACCTCGCTCCAGTGGCCTACCACGACTGATTCATCCGCCCTTCGCCTAGAAACAAAACGAGCACCAGGAGAATTCAGCGTGATTTATGTTGGTACGCAAAATGGGTTAGGATAAACAAGTATGGTTGATTTGATGATTCTGTACCACCCATATTTTGAATGAGTATCACTCTACGTCTCTACCAGTAACAACATCATTGTCACTTCCAATACCCCGCACTGTACTTCTAAGTATCTGGCATTTGTGCGTAAACCGTAAATCCAAATTGATTCTAGACTCTTCCAATCTACCTCCTCTGTCCCAACATAGCTTAAAAAACGTTCTTATATTATGTGACGAAGGACGTACATGCTTGATCGAGGATGTGGCGGCTTTTGTTCGCATCATATTTCATTAGATAGGAAGAGCTATAAAAGATGGGAAGGGAACGAATGGACCATGGTCCACGGGGACATATGAATCAATTTTTTTAAATGGCCGAAAAATCATGAAAAATGCTGGCAACAAGCTTCATAAAGCGTTACACAGTCATGTAAAAAAATTAGGGACGAAATGACTTTCGTGATGTTGTCCAGGACAAAGTCAGAATCAACACTATAGGTACTGTTCACTCTATATTGTCCTGGGACAATTTGCTTTTATACTGAGATTTTTTATGCGGAGTTTTCGCTCTCAATTTTTTTATGAGTAGGCCAACATGTCAAGTTTCTCCGAAAAAAGTTTCAAAGACCGTTGACATTTTCCTGAATTGCTAAAACAAATCCTAGAAAATAGTTTATGGGGTTCATTTACAACCAGATGTATCCTGGTATTTTCCATAAAAGGTGCCCGTTTTTACCGTAACGGTACTTATCGCCAGTGGGCCGGGCATCGCTGACTTTAGAGTTGCTTTCAATTTATGGCCCCCCACGGATTAGGAACCTTTTTCTTCTCTGATTGAGAGTGCCGAAATAAGTAGTTGAGGAGTGCTCGTTACAATGACCACTCTCACTTTTTCAGGTTGCGACAAGAGACGCGTTGTATGTGCGCCACTTGTGGCAACCTGGGAGTTTTCTTTTTTTTATATAGATCCGTTTATTTAAAATGTTCTTAAACCGTGCGTCTAAATCTTGAACCATTTTCATCGTTGGATTCCTCACGTCGAGATCTTTAAAACTAGATTCCATGTTGATAGGTTTTAACGAACTTTTTTCTCACAAAAAACCAGATGAAAAAAATGAACGAAAAAACCGAACCGGGAGCACGGGTTTTTTCCCTTTCTGAAAGAGGCACGTCCATGCCTCTCGCGAAATCACAACCATGCCTCTCGCGGAAGCAAAACCGTGTCTCTCACGGAAGGAAAAAAACAGAAAACGCGTTTTTTTCGTTTCCGAGAGGCACGGCCGTGACTCTCGCGAAAGCACAACCATGCCTCCCGCGGAAGGAAAAAGAACAGAAAATATGTTTTTACGTTTACGAGAGGCACAACCATGACTTTCACGAAAGCATAACCGTGTCACTCGTGGAAGCAAAACCGTGGCTCTCCTGGAAGAAAAAAAAAAACAAAAAACGTGTTTTTTTTTCATTTTCGAGAGGCACGGCCGTGATTCTCGCGGAAGCACAACCGTGCCTCTCGCGGAAGGAAAAAACAGAAAACGCGTTTTTTTCCGTTTCCAAGAGGCACGGCCGTGACCCCTGCGAAAGCACAACCGTGCCTCTCGCGAAAGCAAAACCGTGACTCTCGTGAAAAAACGCATTTTTCGTGCAAAAGAAAATTCATTTTTTTTCAATCCAAAAGCTAAGGAAGACCGGTGAAAAACTAAAATGTTAAAGAAATCAGAAAAATCATTTAAAGAACCGAAAACACGTGTGAAAAAATAAAACAGTAAAATCTAGAGGAAGCGCCCAGAGCGCGACACGTGACGGGCGGCTGAGAGCGCGCCAACTAACACTGATCGTTGTGAGGTTTCTCAAGGAGCGTTCATCAGCTAGTTGCTCCCCGAGAGGGCACATACGACCCAAACCCTGTATGGCGCCTTAAGCGCCGGTTACAGTTCATTCTGTAAACCGGCGCACACGCCTTGTATGTCCTTGGGTTCGGCCCATTTAGCTCCTTTTTTCCCAAGCATGCATACCTAGTTCGATCGGTGCATGCAGTTTTCTCTCTCTCACTTATTTTGCAAAAATTCTACTCTCTCCGTTCCCAAATATTTGTCTTTCTAGCGATTTCAACAAATGACTACATACGGAGCAAAATGAGTGAATCTAGACTCTAAAATATGTCTACATACATCCGTATGTGGTAGTCATTTGAAATGTCTAGAAAGACAAATATTTGAGAACGGAGGGAGTAGGAGTTGCCATCAGTTTTTGGAGCGGTTTTTCCTGGGTTTTCCCAGGACCAGTTTTGTAAAGTTTTTCCTTTCCATTTTTATTCCAGTTCTTTGGTTTTCTTTTTTCTCTCTTTTGTTTCATTTTCTATGATTTTTTATATTCCTTAACGTTTTTTCCAATCTGTGATTTTTATGAAATTCTTAAAAGAAATAGCCATGAACTGTTTATTCGTGATTATTTTTAAAATTCATGAACTTTTATAAAATCTGCGGACATATTTAAAATTAATGTTTTTTTAGACTGTGAACTTTTTTCATTTTCGTGAGCTTTTTCATTTTGTATGAACCTTTTAAAATTCATCATTTTATCCCAAATTCGCACAATGTTTTACATTTTCATGAATTTTTTTCGTTTTGTACGAGCGTTTTGATAATTTTGAACCTTTTCAAATTCATGGGTTTTAAAAAAATGTGAATTCTTTTTCAAATTTATGTCTCCTTTTTTCAAGTAATTTATACTAGGTATATAATGTATGTTAATGTTGTACTAAAAGAAGGGTCAAATAGCATTGTTTTTCGGATAGTAGACAACAAAGTGATATCGGTCTAGTGACTATTGCGCCAAGTCTTCTGTCCGTCGACGTTGGCGTGTGGGTTTGAATCCCAAGTCTCCTAGAATAAAGCTCAAAATATTTTTCTTCATGTTTGGTTTTTGAGCAGGTTGCTGAGACGGCCCGTTACGCGTTGTGCGCGAGCGCCGAATAGGAGGTTTCCAAATTTTTTTGAGACAAACTGCAAAGCTTTATTACTCCGTCACAATGCTTATAGGGACGAAACCAAGTTCATTGGACTGGCCTAACCAAACATGGCGGCCAGCTCCTAGGGATAAAGCGTACTTTGCGAGCTTGTGAGCCTCGAACTTCGAGCTACGAAATTCATGCGTAATATTACATGTGTGAAAAGTAGACTTGTGTTGTACTATTTCATGCACAATTGCCCCATAACTCCCCTTGCTCTTCTGCTGAATGTCGTAAACGGCAACTTTGCAATCGCAGGCAACCTGAATCTTCCGTTCGTAGAGATCATCAGCTAGAGATAGTGCCTCCCTGATGGCCATTGACTTTAGTGTAGCCGGGTCTGACAAATTGGGGAAAACAACAGCCGAAGCTCCCAAGAACATGCCCTGATGATTTCTACAAACCACTCCAACAGACCCATATGCTCCACCTCTCCCAACAGCAGCATCATCATTGAGCTTTGCTAACCCCACCGGTGGTGCAATCCAGTGGGTCGGAAGGCTTCGAGTTGCAGTCCTGCT